ATCACACAGATTTCTTCAAGGCTTTAACAAGCCTCTTTTGTAGATCCAGTAAGAAAACATTGTCCAGGTCATTGTCTTGATTTCTCCTTTGTATTTCCCTTTTAATTTTTAAAACTTCAGCCAGTTTCTTTTGTATATCCAGTGAAGTGTCCTTTTCCAAATCATTCTCTTGGCCTGTCGTTTATAGTTCCACATTCTGTCCTTTCTCTGTCTTATCAGATAAAATTTGTTCCACATCTGTCATTCCTTCATTAACATCTTTTAGACATAGTCTATCCATAGAAGCAGACATCACTACTGATAGTGTTGATATTGTAGTTACTAACTTCTGGCTCCATTGTACAAAGTTCTCCTTTAATATTTTCGATGTTACAACATTTTGTATCCTTTTGTAAATCCCAGTATGTATTAATTGACATCAGGCTTGCATTTTTTTTCTTCTGCTTAAAATCTTTATTCCTCTCTAGTGTCCAGTTTCTAAAACGATCACTTATCCTTTTTTATGACTTGCAGTTTTCAGGATAACCAAAATAGGTCTGTTTCCCATGAGAAATTGTTTATTTTTTATAGTTAATTCCAAAATCTTATAGTAAAAGGCAATATTCCAAATTTAGCTGGACCCTTAATCCATTTATAACTTTCTTAGATCAAAATCTTATTTAGCTTTTTGTTGTTTATTTCAAATTCTTTAAGTTCTTAAGCTTGTAATTTTTCTTTTGTTCAGTGTTGAAGGTAAACTTACCCGATGAAGTCTTTTCAAACCTGTTCCGAAGATCTCTAATAGCTTTAGAATAATTATTAGGCAATTTCCGAAAGTGATTAGAAAGTGAGGTTTGCGAACTTAATGTCCTTTAAAAGTGTCCACTGCAGTTGCAGACAAGATGGCTGATCCCACCATCTTACAGCGCTCAAACCCGCGGAAAACTGCTGTCTTGCAGTCTCCTTGTGAGGAGCAGCTGTCCGAAGCACATGATCTCCTCTCCTTATCTACTCTAACCGTCTGCTCACCAGTTCCTTGGTCTTTGCTGCTGTTGTCAGCTCCACTTTCGCAGAGCCATCTTAAGTTCACCACACTTCCCCCAGAAGCCCCTGCAGTTCGCCATACCTCAAGAATTTGTTGATATATTCCAGTCTTTTGTTGGTGTATGGGATTTTGTTTTTTTATATGTTGCTGAATTTGTTTTTGTTTTCCACAGGCACTGGGCAGCTTTTACTTTCTACATGAATCCTTGAAAAATATTTACCAATTTGACTTTAAAGGTAAGAAAGACAAGAAGGCTTCAATTCTATAAATATGCAAATAAACTCCCATTGAATTCAGTGGTGCTCTTGACTAAAAAAATGTTTCAAGGGTTATATTATTCATTTCTCATATTAGAAGGATTATTCTCCTTAGGTTTTTAAGACTGCTTTCATACACTGAGAGTAACAAATATGAGTCTGCCACTTATGTATGCTTGATAGCTCTATCCAGTCCTGGTCTTCTGCTCAGTGTATCTTCACAGTAGACACATTTGGAGTGTTGAGATCATATCATAGGCCAGTGTGATACAGCATTGAAGGTGTTAGATTTATGTCAGTCATCAGCTATGGAAGCTCATTGGATAACTTTGGACCATCATCGTCTCTTAAGGTGGCCATTGTGGAAAAAGTTAGAGGAGGGGCCTGAGCTGTTGGTGGAAAGAGGGCTACAAATCTAATGAATAAAAGTAGCATTCCCACAAAATAGCTACCAGGAAAATAGCTTTCACCATGCTGGGCAGAATAAGCCACAAAACCTGCCTATTTACAAGAAAGCAGTGCAATGAGTTTGTCCCTAGCCACCACTTTTGAACCCCTAGTATGTTCTCCAGTAGCCACTTTCCTTTGCCCTTTGGGAGGCAGATGGGGACACTTCCAAACTGTATCATCATTAGGTACAGTTACACAGTATTTTTTTCTATAGAACTTTTATGGAATCTGTGTGAGACCAAAAACATTCCTATATGTAAAGATGCTGGCTGGCACTTTATTTTACAGCATGCTAGCTGGGTTTTTTTTTTCATATTAAATTTTTTACAAATATAAAGTCAAGCTGTGGCATGTCAAGTGGTAAAGGAGTGTCTGTAGGCATATTAGTTCTCAAAGGTTGTCTATTTTTGGTGTGGTGAGTTGTGTGTGAGTGAGTGACAGAGATGCAGTGGTTAAGGTGCTGGCCTAGAAACCAGGAGACTGTAAGTTCTAGGCCTCCTTTAGGCATAAAAGCCAGCTGAGTGCCTTTGAGCCAGTCACTCTCAGCCCATCCCGCCTCACAGGGCTGTTGTTGTGGGGAAAATAGGAGGCAGGGGTATTAGGTATGCTAGCATCTTGAGTTGACTAAATATAATATGCAATTATATATGTTGGTTGCATTCACATTTTACATCTTTAAATTAAAGAAGTCTATATTTTATAATGATCACCTAAAATACAGTAGATACAGAAAAGCAAAATATATTTTGCCTCTACTGGAGCATTATTTGTATGCTAAATATTTGATGAAGGAAGGTTCATTGACTTACTATAGTCACAAGAAAAAGGATTATAAGTGGCAGTGGCAATATTATTAAAACTCAAATAACTGTATATCTGATCTATCATAGAATGAATAATTCTGGTGGAAACATTTGCATTTGATTCTTTCACGGTAATTTATTGTGTACTTTCTCTGAGAACCTCCAAGTATATGTATGGTTTTTCCTTCTCCAATAATTTTATTCCTATGAAGTTGATAGAGAACTGACCAAAGGAGATGGTGCTTTAAGGAAAGGACTGTTACTTGGTGGGACATGCAGAAATTTCCAAGTTTAATCTTTGGCAACTGCATTAAATAGATCAGTCAGTAGGTGATAGGACAGGCTTTTTCCTGAGTTCCTTTAGATATTAGAGTTTACAGGCTGTGTCCAGTGTTGCCAGTGTATATCAAGACTGAGTCATGATCTCTCTGGCACTTGCCCCAGTCCAGTTCTGACCATGACAATCTACTGGCTCTTGACATCAGAGAGGCAAATGTTAATAAAACTTGTATTTCATTTTTCTTTTTATATGTACACTGTATAATCACATCTTTGTTACATTAGTATGACAGCTTAAGTAAAGCTTTTTCCAATATTTGGAACAACTTTGATTGTTTTAAAAACCATTTGGGGTTTGATAAATGACTGCTCTAATTTCAGTATAAAAATCTCCTAAATTTCTTTTAGCTTCTTGTGACAGGTCACATTCATTCTATACTTTTGTGCCACATTTATTGGAGACATCATTGAAATTGTAGGTGAACTAATTGTCTCAATTGTTCAGTTTCATTATTCTTGTTCTTATCCAAGATGAATTACCCCTCTTCTTATTTTGCCGAGGGGGGGGGGATGGATGAAAGCTAGCTTCATTAAAGAATAGCAGTTCTGTAAGTATGGCATTTCAAAGCATAACTGCTATATAGCCTTCCATTTATCTTTTTTTAATGATAATCAAGTAAAATGTCAAAGAGATCTCAAAACATGTTTTATTTCTGAATAAAGTAATGTAAATTGCAGGTGTGATATGGGTCCTTTTTAATGAGAGATTAATTTGTCCACTCATTTTTTTCCAAATGTAAAAATTTGACTATTGCTAAGCAACAATATGGATTATTTTTAATTGTGGACACATCTGATAAATACACCTGAGTTTTAGCTTCATTCTGGATTTTTTTCTTGATTACTTCCATCACCAACTTCAATCTTCATTTGACTGCAATTTATTTTGGGTTAAATCCTTCATTTCTCCTTGTCCTCATCAAAATGGATCCATCAGGCATTAGGGTATGTTTTACAGTGTGTACTACTCAGGGACTTTGCAGGAGCAGTGCAAGATTTTTCTGCCTAACTTTAAGAGATTCCTCTCCCAGTTAAGGCCTTGAAGTACAAAATAATAAGATCTAGTAAAGTCCCCACCAATGAAAGGTAGAGTTCTTCAGGAGTTCCATGGGTAGATCTTTTGTGATTGTGATTTTTATGGATTTATGAGTAATAATTTTTATTTTAATTATAGGATGTGGGTTTTTGATATTTTACTATTGTGAGTCACCTAGAGTCTCACAGAGTGGGTGGCATACAAATATTGTAAATTTAATCAGTCAATTCTGCCTTTCTTCCCTGCAGCTTAAGCTAGTAGACGTAATATTTCAAGGCAATCTTCTCTCTACATAATAACTTCAACGTTAATGCATGACATGCCTATAGACCATACTTTGGCCTTTTGCAAAGAAAAGGCTATGAATATAATTGGCTGGATATATTTTATTCTTCAAAATGTGAAAAATCCTTTCCCTGCATACATAAATTTTAAAATACCGTTAAGTTTAAGTTCCCCATCCCCAATTCTTCCTTATTCATTCCTCCCTTATGCTAACAGATCAGTCATGAGAATGTGATCAACAAAGTTTTATACATCAGTAGCTAAACTTGGAGAATAAAAAGGACAGCATCTAGAGAAGCAACATCCTTGAGTTAATTCTCTGAAAAACAGAATATACAAATACTCAAGAAGAATGAGAGTCCAGTGGAATCTGACAGCTTGATATATGGAATTACTGTAGAACATGGAAGTTTATACATGAAGAATTCCATATTAAAAAATAAATTTGAACCTTTGTTTATATCCACTAATTCTATGAACAAAAGAATGCCTGAAGCTAATTCAGGCATGATGGGGAAGCATGAAAACACATGATACATTAATATGAATATTAGTCTAGCAAAATGGAACTATTGTCCACTGAAGAATTTGTGCATCTTGTGTATAGTTTTGTAGAAATATGTTATTAATCTAACAGCATGTATCTCTGATAATATGAAATGACAAAAAAAAAAAAAAGAATTATTTCATTTTGATTACTTTTTTCAGCACAGGTTTTAACTGAATTTCTATGGAACAGGGAAACTTAATTTGTTTGCTGGATGTTTGTTATTACTTACCAGTTTCATAAAGCCCTATATTTATTTTTCTTCTACTGGGCATATTAAAACCTGGTAACGTTCTAAATCTGTCTTATTTCTTCTCAGCTAAGAAGTACAAAAAAGTTACGGGGAAAGAGATCTATTCAGATACGTTAGAAAGTACACCTATGCTGGAAAAAGAAAAGTTCCCACAGGATTATTTCCCTGAGGTAAATATAGACAAATAGTAATTTTTGAAAATCAAGGGTGTGATTGTAATTTTAGTTGCTTTATTCATTTAATTGGAATCATTCTTGAATTCTGGATCTAAAGTAAAGTATAGTCCTACCCGTGATTTTTTTCCCTTTCCTTTTATTTACTAAAAGCTTTTTGAGCCTCTTTGGGGGATAACTTTTTCTCCCTAAAAAGTACAACAATATAATAATACATAAAACTTAATATGTGCTATGTGCCCTTAAAATTACTCATTTATAGTCATTCATAAAAATCAAATCAAAATGAAAACGTTCTAAATGTTCTCTTAAAAAACAATGATGATGCCACACATTATTTTTGATGGAGAGAATTCCACAAGATCCTCTCTGGTCTTGTTCAGTCATCTCTTATCACTGAGTCAAAATGCAAAGGGACTGGAGCTGCTTTTAAAGCTTGGCCAGGCTCATATTGAGTATAATCTCCAAATGACCTAGTTTTAAAATGTCAGGATCCTTGAAGGTCAAACCATCACTTTAAACTGTGTTTTAAACTTTAAAACTATTTTAAAATAAGCAACTGTTGTAACTGGCACAAAATTTATGTGATGTGCTCAGACCTTTTGGCTGTCACATTCTGAACCCAGATATTTCTGACTCTGTCAGTTCAAAGCATGTTACAGTAATCTAATCTAGCTATAATAAGAGTATGTGTCACTGAATTATGATTCAGCCAAGCCAGCCAAATATGGTTAATCAATTGAGAAGGATATTTGGCATGATGGTGACTTATCTGGCTTTCTGATGCAGGGTTTGTGTGTGTGTGTGTGTGTGTGTTTCCATTATCAAACACTTCATCCAGATTAATTCAAATATATACATAAGAAGTCTATTAATAAATCTAGTTGTTTAAAATATTTGTGGCCAATCAATACAGGTTTCAGTAGGACTAACTTCCATTTTGTATGGGACTGCTACATTAAAGAACGATGGTCAGAATTTATGCAAACTGTGGACATTTTACATTCTTACTTGAAAAAAAATGACTTTCAACTTCACATTACTATATGTTGACACCATCTTTTAATGTACCATTTATGTTCTTTTAGGGGGTGCATTGCCCTTAGTTTAAGACTGATTTCTTTTTATTACTGCTGCTTAAGTGTGATCTAAAATTAATTACAATGATTGAGGCATAATGCAATTCAAAATAATTACAGCCCACTGCATATAAAAGTAACAAAACTTTCTGTGCTGATTTATTGCTTCTCTTGGCTGTGCATGAGTCTCAAATGATGCCTCTGGGAGTAACACTCCAGATAATGTTAGGTCATTTTTAAAAAGCAGATTTGAGTAGTCTATCAGGACTGAGTAATTTTTCCCCCCTTCCATAGTGAGAAATTGGTTGTTATCATAGATCACCGATACTGCTCAAAGCTCTTGTGAAAGATGAATTAATTTCACTAATGCTTTAATGCAAACCTTTCATGGAGAAGGCTGTATGGTGATAACCTTACTGCAGTCTCTCCTTTCTCAATGATGATTTATGTTGTCTTTTAGTAGATGGAACTGCCTGTATTCACAATCTGTCTCCTAGCTAAAGGAATCTTATTAACAGGAAAACTGGAGAGAGACTTAATATTGTATAAGGTGAAAGATGCTGAACTCATTTCTTGTGGCAAAAAGATGCTATATTCTAAAATCTAGATAACACATTATTGATGGTAACAGATAATCTTTTAGTATTTTGATATTTAATGCTTACTTGCAAGATGGTTCTGATTTCCTGAGAAAAATCACTATTTGGAAGCATCTAGTCAGAACAAATAATAGTACTGAGGATTTTGATTAGAGAATGTGTTGCTGTTTGAATACTATAGTGATGCCGTTTCTTCGCAGCTATCTACAGTAAGCATATAGTTCAAAGCTACATACCTATACAATTGTGTAACGTGAATACTTAAAGGCAGTTGCCCAACATAGTAGTTTCAATCATTTAAGTCCCTATTACTGTGTTTGTTAGGGCTATTCTTCGAATGAGGAAAGAATTATCTAATTATTTCAAGTATTAATTTAAACAGGGACTCTCTTGTTAGTTCTCATTCCACCCCTGAATCAAAAGTTTCTTTTCCTATTAGAGTCTGTTGTCCTTCCTGCCTTCCACAGAGTTTGTTGTCATTGGAAATAAAATACTAAATGAGTACCAGATCCAGAAAGAGAAAGCATAATGCAGAGATCAGCAATGTAGTACCTGGGTTGATCGTATATAGGTAGTCCCCAGTTTAAGAATGCCCAAGGTCTGTCCTTAAGTCGAATTTGTATGTAAGCCAGAACAGTATTATTTATAATATTACATAAGTAGTATTGTGTAATTAATTCAAACCATTGTGTATTTAACTCGAATCATTGTGTATTTAACTCAAATTTTGCTACAGTAGGCTCCGTTCTTAACTATGTGTCATCCTTAAACCAGGCATTCTTAACCTGGGGACTACCTGTAACTTCTCATATCAAAGAATCACAAAAATGTTTATTAGATTTATATCCCTCCCCTTTCCTTCAGGAGCTCTAAGCAGCATATATAACACTCTCTCCTATTTTTCCTCACAACAAACCTGTGAGGAAGGTTCAGCCTGTAGTCATCCTGTGAGCTTCCATGGCTGAGGGAAAACTAGAACCTGGGTCTCCCTGCTTCTAGACATACTTGTTCAAAAAAAAAAAATACTTTAAACATTACTTTAAAAATCTCAAGATCACATGAGATTTTCATTGTAAGTAAGAATAAAGAAACATGAAATTTTGTGGGTCAGAATGCTGAAATTCCAGATTTGGCAATCTTGTGAAATTTCAGCCTTTTGTGAAAAATGATTATTTATTTGTTTTATATGCATCCATAGCATTGTACAGTAGCATATGATGTCCTGCTGAAAAATTTGCCAACCCCAGCAAAATGGTTTAAGACAGAGTTAGCTACAATGTTTTGGACTATCTCCTATAATGTCTTACATTTGTCCATAAACTGGCTGAATTTTATGAAAGTTATAATCCAAAATTCTAGTTCATCTTGTAAATCCTAAACCTTCAGAGTGAGGTTTTTAGTTTTACACTTTCAAACTGTAATTTTTAAAAATGAATTCAAAATTAAATTTGAATTCATTTTGCTTTTCCAAAAACAATACTGTTGCTGTTTTTACAAATCATTCATTATCATTTTAATAGAACCACCTTAAAAACTATGGTGAATTTTGTCAGGGCAACCACTAGAATTCAAAGTAATACCTTACAAAATTGCATTGGTAAGAATTGCCTTGATGAGAAGTGCCTTGATGAGAAGTGCCTTATTTCTAGAATAACTGTGTATTCTAATCAGAAACTGTGTTCTTGTAGAAGCTGCCAAATTATAACTCCTTCCATCTTTCATTACTGGCCATATTGGATGGGGTTCCTTCTGTGGGCAGAAATTCCTCTGCTCTAGATTAGTAGCTTGCAAGTTATTTTGCAGGTCCATTATCAGTGCTGCTAAAAATACTCTGTATTAATAACATTTTGACTAAATGGCTTGTTGGGAGATTTGGCCTTTTTGGGAAAAATTACCCTGTCTTTGGGAAAGGGGAAGATAATTACATTTTAAAAGAGACTAGCATTTCTACCTTAATTGAATCAGTTAGATGACATGCAGAATTAATATTAAGTGTAATCCATTTCAAAACTGAAACAATGAATCAATTACATTTTCATTTCCAATTGTTGGCACTGGAGACAAAAATAGCAATATTGTATTTTCTTTTTGTACAATTGTAAAATATCAAGTAAGGATAAGTCTTTACAGTTGAAAGGATTCAACTTTGATGTTATTTTAACTAAATGTTATGTAAGTATGATTCAGTTTATGACTAAATAATTTTGTGATCTGTTTTTTTTAAAAAAAAGAATAGAAGCCTGTGTTTGTTTATTCAGTCACATTAACAGCAGTATCATGTGATAATAATCCAGTCAAAGATGTTTGAAAAGAGTAAAGAAAACTATGGTGGTAGTATGTGAAAAAAGGAAATGGTTTGACTGTAATGATCCTTTTATACTTTATCAATTTGTCTTACCTTTATATGAAATGAATAATTGCCTGTTTGGGGCACCCTTTTTTCATAATAATATCAAGTGCCAAAGACTTTGCCTGTGTATGCGTATTTCTTGACCAGTCTGTATATTAATTTGCCACTTTCTGATAAGCCATTTGTTTCAGGTTTGAAACAAACCCCAACTGGCATAGACAGACATGTACAGACATTAGCAGTTCTTTTCACCATCCAGTGTTACAACAGATGGGACATCTTTGGAGTGGGAGTGGTCAAAGTCCCTTCTGGGGTGGAAAATTCTATAACTTTCCCTTTTTTTCCATGAATAGAACTGGAAAGCATTTTGTTGATACATAACATATGGCCAGCCCAGGATCATCAAAGAACATCTGTATTTACTTATTGGCCTTCAAGTATGCTTGATAATTCATTAGAGAGCAGACCCAGCCTTGGAGTTGCCTGTTAAAAGCTGATCAAAAATGAACAGAAAAGAATTTCATCTTAAAAGCAAACATATCACATATTTAGTTGATTCATTTTTAAATGTACTTACTGCATTTTTAGTGTAGTCCAGGTGAGAGTAGCTAAACATTATAAAATGACCATGACTAGTAACAGCAAAAGCAAAGAAGATGCCTCATCCTCAAAACTTTTGTCACAAATGCAGACTGTCTTATATTACTGCAGAGATACATTTAGAACTATACCAGGCTTTTAATAGTCAACAAAATATTCATTTAAAGCCTTTCATTCTCAAGAAGCTTCTGGAGTAGATTAACTGAGGTTGTTCTTTTGTTTGGCCAAAATATATTTTTTTAATGACAGCTGAACTGTTCATGAAAGGGTTTCTACCACGTCATCCCCTCTGGAGAACACAGGGCTAAAACCTGTGCTAGCAGGCATCTTGATAGTCAAGGAAATGGTTTACAAGGACACAATTCTATCAGGAAGGAAGAAGCAGTCAGACTTCATTGTGAAAACAGAATTCAGCTTGCATTGTTCTGGATTCAGGCCTTAGCTATTATTATTTTATATATGTTTTAATATATTGTCATTTTAATTAGGTTGAAGCCAATACAAAATAAAACTTGCTGTAATTGACGTCTTTGTTACAAAATCACTCCAATAAATTCGTGATTGCTTTTCATAAACTTGGAAATCTTTTCTGTGCCAGTTGAAACATGGCTTGTCAGGAGTTGATTTGTTCACGAGATGGAAAATTGCTCGTCTTGATATATGGAATGCCACACTATAGATATCTTTGCTAGTTCAGTCCTATGGAAAGCAATTGGCTTAGCTCATTTCTATTTTCCATATATCTGTATAATTTAGGACATTTTACAAGGGAAAACATTTATTTATAAGTTGCACCAATGCAGTGTGACAGTGAGTGACACATACAAAGATATCAGTTTCTTCATAATTTCCCTGTGAATTATAAAAATAACTTTTTTTCTGAGCAATTAAAATAGTTTAGGTGGTTAAACAAAAATATCAAATTACTATTAGGGTAATTGTCTTAACGTGCTCATTTGCACAGAATACACTAGTTATGAGTATAACCCATTGATTTTTGAAGAGGAAAAATCTGATAGGTGGAGCAACTATGCTAATTCTCATTTGAAAGCAAACAGATGACCTAGTTTGATCATATATATGGTTGATCAGGAGTAAATCCTACTGAACTCTTTGCAATTTTCTTCTAAAGCTGTATGGCTGAGTTTGTTTTTTTTAATTTTCAAGGGATTGAAAATTTAAAAAGTGTACTATGAAATATTTTCAACTGTTCTGTTTCTTCAACTGATATTTACAGTAGAGAAATCAGTAGATGAAGAGCTTTTCATACAAGTTCCTACCCATCTTTTTCTTTCCCTAGTCAGACTCTCAAATAAGTCTAAATGCTGGGAAAGGTTTTGCAAAGGACAGTTGATAGTGTTTAACCTTGTATATGTGGACCAAATCTTCCCCATAAATAGTTATTCTGTTTATACTCCTACATTCGTATTCAGATGGGCTCTGAGACCAGAAATATATTTGATCAGGGAAAATGACTTTATGGGAAATACTTCCAAAGTTCATCAGTAGCTATTTAACCCTTTATTTCTGTAAATGAGTACTTTGGCTAGTTTTATCTCATTATGTTCTTAACAGAACATAAGGCTGAATATGTTTCTTCCCATTTGGGGAAGAGGCTAAGTACTGTATACATTTATTTTCCAGGCTATGAATCAGATACCAGGGGATATTGAGGGGGGGGGGTGGAGGGAAGGCAGGGAAGAAGTTTGGAGACCACATAATTACCCAGAAAATTAATTATGTACCATCAACTCATTGTCAACTCTTAGTGACCATATAGATGGATTTTCTCCATGATGATCTGTCCTTCAGGTCTTCCAAAAGTGCAGTCATCACTCCTGTAAGTGAATCCATCCACCTTGCTGTTGATTGTCCTCTTCTTCTCTATTCCTTTCACCTTTCCCAGCATTACAGCCTTCTCCAGAGGAGGCTTATAATCCTGATTTTACTATATTAAGCCTCATGTTGTTTACTCTAGTGTTCTCCATGAAAACACAATTTTTGTAAAACTTACCAGTAGATTCATCTCTTTCTGTTTTCTATATTTTAATATATTGATACTGAGCTTTATACTACTTTTCAGTGCAAGTGGTCCAGAAAAGGATTCATACGAACAAGATGGTGTATTACTGACTGGTACGTAACATGAAGGGTTTTTTTTTCCTCCCAACAATGCTGCAACATATTTGAACATGTTTTGTATTGAATGCTTAGTTACTGTGAAAGACATAAGTTTTGGAACAGCTTGTGCATATTCCATCTGAATAGTGAACCAATGTTTAGGCATTTTTCATTATTGAAAGGAAACCAACCCTCTAAATGGCATAATATAAATACTTGATTTATATATAATTTGTATATAATTTCCAGGTAAATCATAGGGTTTTATTTTGACTAGTTATCTTTAGCCAATGCATGCTTTATATATATATAAAATAATTATCTCAATCTCTGCAATAGACAGTGGAATAATCACACACATTTAAGTTTCGTTCTCTCATTTATAATTCCCACCTTTTTTTCCCAAAATTTTATGAACAACATTTGAATTTGCTTTTTGTTTTATCAGATCATTTCTTCCACTTTTGTAGTAGAACAGATAGCATTTTCTACTTTAAGAAATTAGAAAGCTTTCAAGGTCCCACCTTGATTCACTTTCTTTTCTCCATTATGCAGCTGGGAAGCAATAGGCAAAACTTTTGTTGCCTATCCCCTTTGGGGGAACTTAGCCCTTGGACTAGAGAAAATATTAGAGCTAGACCTGTGGAAAGGGATGCAAATAAAGTTGCTACTATAGTAAAGACATCAACATTTTCATCACCATAAAAAAATAGAAGCCTCTCTCAGTATCTGGTTATTACAAGTGCTCCACTGAGAAAGGCTTTTACACCTCTTTCCTTACAGACCATGTTTTTGGCATATCTTAAAGGGTGAGTTTGTATGAGCCCTGTTGAACAGCATCTCTGCCCCTGTGGTGCCAGTTAAGTAGAGGACATTATTCACTATGTTCTCCACTGTCCTGTTTACAATGAGATTAGGGCCAAATTATTGATGTTGGGTGAATTCAAGCATTCAGACCTCAGATGGATGAATTATCTTCTTGCAGATGTGTTTCCAACTGTTAGTAGTTAAGTTGCTACTTTTGCTTTGCCATCTCTCTCTCTCTCCCCCCCCCCCTTTCTCTTGGTGCCTTTGAGTCACCAGTCTGCAGTTTTCTTGGCAAAATTTCAGAAGTGGTGTCCCATTGCCTGCTTCCGAGGGCTGAGAGGGAGGGACTGGCCCAAGGTCACCCAGCTGGCTTTGTGCCTAAGTCGGGACTAGAACTCACAGTCTCCTCGTTTTTAGCCTGATCCCTTAACCACTACACCAAACTGGCTCTCTTGCCATCATTTAAATTCTAAAATAATTTTTTAACTGTCTTTATTTTGAGTTTTTTGTATCTAACACTTTGTTACTTTATTTTAATTTTGTTTTATTATATTTTATGTTATGTTACACTGTTATAACCTATGGTTACAACAATAAAACTTAATTTACTTACTTTAAGATAACAAATCAACCTGATTTATTCAGACTAGTAGACACATGGAAATCAGTAGGACTTCAATATTCAATGCCTAACTTGCCACATTGTTCTCTAGATACAAACCAGTGTTTTATTTTCTTAATACTTCCAAATTTTGGAAACATTTACCTTCTGGGAAAAATTGAGGCAAAGAGATATAATTGGTATTTGAATTACATTATAAGATTATATTATATTATATTATATTATATTATATTATATTATATTATATTATATTAT